CTCACTTGATTGCAGGCTTTTAGCCGAATTGACTCGCAGAATATAATCCGCAGAAGCAGGAACGCGCCCACACACGCACGCATGAATACTTTCTGTATTTCGAAACCGACCTTCCCTAAACCTCGGTGTGACTAATCAATATGTACTCTTTCTTGATGAGCTTACACGAGGTTGATAAATATATTTATTTTCGGCTAACGTTTCGACGTCTTCGTCTTCCTCAGAGCCGGTGATCCGAGTCGATGGTCCATGCTTGTTGTTCGCCTCGACGTTGCGTCTTCGCCTTCCTGTCGAGCCAGATCTTCCTCAGCGAGCCATCTTCTCGAATGAGGCATCCTCACTCAGTGATGCCCTTTTATACACGATGCTGATGGTGGATATATAATGACAATGTCCGGTGGTAATAACTTGTATTTCTTCCGGACATACATCATTACGCACATCGTGCAGAGGTCGGTGTATTATCAGCTAGCACAAAGCGTAGTAATAGTAATTTATAGTAATTTATAGTAATTTATAGTAATTTATAGTAATTTATAGTAATTTATTACTACGCTTTGTGCTAGCTGATAATACACCGACCTCTGCACGATGTGCGTAATGATGTATGTCCGGAAGAAATACAAGTTATTACCACCGGACATTGTCATTATATATCCACCATCAGCATCGTGTATAAAAGGGCATCACTGAGTGAGGATGCCTCATTCGAGAAGATGGCTCGCTGAGGAAGATCTGGCTCGACAGGAAGGCGAAGACGCAACGTCGAGGCGAACAACAAGCATGGACCATCGACTCGGATCACCGGCTCTGAGGAAGACGAAGACGTCGAAACGTTAGCCGAAAATAAATATATTTATCAACCTCGTGTAAGCTCATCAAGAAAGAGTACATATTGATTAGTCACACCGAGGTTTAGGGAAGGTCGGTTTCAAAATACAGAAAGTATTTGTCGAATCAGCGCAACGGAAGCAGGGAGTCTATCCCCTGTATCCACCTACGTCTCAGGGAAGCAAAGGTCGCTTTTGGTCCCCAATTAACCCCCTATCCGCCACTTGGAGACGCTCCACGTGGCCTCGCGGCTAACCGGCTACCGGGATCCCTCATATGTGGGAGGTCCGTGGATCCCTGTCCGTACATGGCAAATAATGTTCTTTAACAGGATTTTATAATCTTGAAAAAAATTCGAGCTTTCCTTATACAGTATTAAAATCTCTAGTGAAAAGTTCTAAATAGTCACCTCTTTCTTTCAGCCGCCATGTGAGCGAAGTCGGTAGGAAATTCCAGTATAGCATACTCATTAGACAGAACTGATTTCAACGTACGTATTAATCTTTCCAATATACTGCAATGATATGGGTATTTTGCACTTTTCATTATCAATATCAAGTCTGATCATTACTAGTGTTTTACATTGTATGACGGTCATCACTGTGCGGATCCCTGCACTTTTTTTATTCGATTGGCTTCTATCGCATTAACCGTCCATAAAGGACTTGGAGCGTTTCGCGTTTTGTCTCAGCTGGTACTTGAAAAATCGCTCTTCTTCACGAGTGTCGCAGAATAATGGTCGAGTCGATGTCTCTTGAAATCCTGGAGATAGACAAGCTAACGCGTTTTCACGTGGACTAGACGAGCGCCTTTGGGAAGGGGTAGAACTAGAGCTAATCCAAGGCGTTTGAACGTGGATTAAAGGAGATCGTTGGAGAGCGGTCACACCAGAACCTTACCAGTACACTGCATCAATATCCATTGGGCTACTGGGCCCTCATTTGACAAACAGTCGATCGGTTGACATCACAGTAAGACTCGATAGCTTTACTTATGCCAAACGCAGTCGATTTAAGGTATACCGTGAAAGTGTACATTGTTAATCATCATACAGCCATACATAGCTTTCCTTCATATTTATGGAAACGTGTGAGAAGCTCTACAATAGACCACTCATTTGTGACGTACGATTGTAGAAATAAAAATTCTTTGCGAAGCAGATAACAGTAACTGATTCGATTACCTTGTGTTGAAGAGACTGTCGGTAGATTAAAGGTCATCTGGGCACAGCATAACGGAGAAGATTATGAAATAGAAGTCATGGTCCTCACACAGGAATCTAAAACTCCACCGCGTAAAAGCCTTGAAGTGTTCTGTATAGACTCCAAGACCCAAAAATGAACCGCAAACAGATATCTCAGCTCGATTTCTTGATTTAAGACAGGCACATTTCTCACTCATGTAAGATTCTGTGCAGGTGGTCTCTAATCGAAACTAGGAGACCTAAGAACAATAAGATGGCGTTTTTCTATAGGAAGGAAGCTCATCACTACGCATATAAATATTTATGTATCCAGTTTTTATGCTTGTTACCAAAGTGTTGGGCTGAGTAGGAATAAGGAATAACGCCGAGACTGAAAGGAAATCGGTCCTAGAAATTCCATTATATTTTCATCGGATAAAAGTTCACTAGGTATTCTTTCCTTGTTTAAGAGTACTTTGGATGTAACAATATTTTAAAGAGTGACTCTCTTTTAATCTCGGCGTAACTGATCAAGCTCCTCTCAGACTATTAAGCTAACGCGCGGCTGTCAAAAGCTTTATTCGGCTAACGTTTCGTTGTCTCCGCCTTCTTCAGAACCGATGATTCGGATTGGCCACAGTCGTGCGTCTTAGGTTTATTTGTCTTCGTTTAAGAGTTACTTTCAACGAACAATCATTATCGACAACAACTGTCCTTTCTAAAAGAGTACCATCGTGTTAGGGCACTTCATTCGAGCGGTGATCCAATCAAGAAAATTCGACTCGATCAACTACGAGGACCCACATCGCCCGTGCGAAGGACTGCAGATAATCGACTCCAATGAATTCGGCCCTGTAGAAGACGGAAGCGTCGAAAGATTAGCACGAAATTTTTTTCGACCACGTGTTAACCTAATCAACCAAGAAAAGATTACTGTGGATGTGTTGTAATTTCTCTGTAAACGCATTTAGCCGTACTCTTCGACTTAGAAATCCTACAACAAATTAAGATATTTAACCAAAAATCAATGCAAATTCCATCAACCTTACTTGACAGTAATAAAAAAGCAAAAATCAGCCTTGGCATTTTGAGGATCATTGTGAGGCCTATATCTACTCCCACAAACATCCTCGAACTCGTATGGAGATGAAAATGGTCAGCCTCCCAAGGAATCAAGGTTGTTTCGAACTAGAACGTCATCAGTTTTGATGAATTCGATGAAGTTCACGTCATAAGCTTTATTATAACAATAATGTGAAGCAATAGAACAATTAAAAACGACTTTATACATCCCGTATAATACTGTCGATAATTAAAAAGTAATCACACCCGTAAATTATTGCAATATTCCATAATAGTTTCAGTTCGTTCAACAACAAAAGAGCCTCAGAACTTTGGAAATGGTAACAACCCTGATCACTAAAAAAGTAAGGGGCATTTCCCTGCTTCTTTATTCCAGAATATTGAAGGTATTGTGTATTAGTCGACTACACTGCTTCTAACGATAACCTGATAGGAAAGGAATAGTTTGACGACTAAAGAACGATTCGTAAGAAGTATATTCAATAATGGAGCCTAAGGAAAAACTATGACGTCAAACATCTTCATAATTTCGTACTAGACCAGAGTGATCACTAGCCGGTGCTCCAGTGATGAAATCCGGTACCGGGACTATGGGCTTTCGGAAGCCCGGTCCCAGTAGCGGATTGGATCGAGCCCACATCGATGGAACTATCGTGGATCGGGGAGTAGGTCGCATAAGCACTAGGACACAAAGTAAGTAGATTAGCACGGACGAACTGAAAAAACCAAGCATTAAAGATCACAAAATAGACCACTATTTCTCCCACTTTATACCAAAGGAAAGCACTAATAAAAAAAGCAATTTCTTTGTCAAAAATTTTTCAGTTCTAAAGGTTGACGCGCTATAGTCATGCCTAGCAAGTCTCATACACTTGCGGTTTTGAAACACTTCCGAATTAACGAAACAGAACAGTATACCTCGACATCAGGCATCCGAATAAGAACCATAATATACTACTCCTGAACAACAGTGAACATCTTGTGCCCAGTGTGCTGCTCTCCAACAAGCCTGAAGCACCACAAATTATTTATTGATTTATTTCACAGAATTAACAGAAACACTGTTCTTACCACTACGATTTTCTACTTGTTTCGACTCAAGCACAATACGGCTTGATGTTCGAGCAGCAAAGTTCCAGACAACGCACTCATAGACTCCATTGTGAAGTGTGGAAAAGTGACGAATGAACAGCGTGCCATTTGGGTACGAATGAGCGTCCGACGAGGTATGTGCCACCGGCTCACCGTTCTGTGAATAGAGAAAGTCCATGAACAAATAACGCACCCGAACATCCAGTGGTACTTAAGAGCATTAGAGGTCCTAATATCTATACCCATATATTCTTCTATGTTCTAATCTGTGATTCCCAGGACCGACTTACTATGTTCTATTTCGCTCGTTTTTTTTTTACATGACCTGTTATCACTTACGCTGCTGGGATCCCAGCACTTATTCACTTGGAATCGTTTTCCTCGCATTCAACGTCCATAAAAGTTGAGTATTTTCATCCTCTTTATGAATGTCGTAGAATGCTGGTCGAGTCGATTCTCCATGCACTCTTGCAGATAGCCGGTCTAAGGCGCTCCCACGTGGACTAGAGCGCGTTGAGGAGAGGGTCGAACTAGTACCTTTGCTTCGCACCTACGGCAGCACAAATGGTTAATTTTATCCTTGTCACGCTTTAAATAAACATGAAAACCATTCCATTTGCACCCACAATCCACCTTCAGATGCTGGATTTAAATCTGGCTTCTAATGGAGCTAATGACGTGTATTCTTATACAGAAGACATTTATTTAAAGGAAAACAAAGGCGACTTTTTACTAACCATAAAACGCAAGAGGACTCATAGGATGAGCACATGAACTTGTTGCACCAATTACACGGTTTTTGGAAGCATGTAAATGCTAATGAGTACATAAAGTGGGACTTGTAAGTAGTTTCGATAGAAGTACTCAATTTAAATAACCAAGATGTACACATTTTGCTGCTCCAGAATCACCAAAAAAAACCCAGTCCCGGAAGAACCGATAAGCTACTCTGACCATATCGAACCTGTTGCGGTAGAGTCCGGCATGCCGTCCACGGTTACCATTTCGCCGATAACGATAGAACGTAAAGGGCTCAATACAATTAATGTGATGCTCACTGTGTTCTTCGAGAGATCCTTTGCACTGGTAGTCACACAATCCCCGAGAAGACTAATGAAATTTCAGGTGATACAAATAGTAACTGCACCACTCGTCAATTGAAATTGAAATCACAGTCCAAGGGAGTCCAAAACACCAGCGCGAAAACTCCTAGACGCTTTTTGGATCAATGCCAAAAACCCTACAATGAATAGCAGGGACGAATGCCCGGAGGTCATACGCGACCTGATCCCGTACGTTCGCATCGATTTTTGATGTGGGATGGCGCAGTCGTCAACCACATGCGACTATAATCAGCTGTTCTAAACTTCCTCATTGGAAGTCACGAAAAAGCGGTGGGTTTTTCGAGAAGTTGTTGATCGTGTAATTACCAAAGAGTCTTTCGTCTTTTTGTAAGTGTCATTGAAGCGTTTGGCCTGGTAGATTGTATATCAGTATACCCTTCCATGCTCTGAAGAAGGCGATACTGCCGAAACGTCAGCTAGCGTTGTATTGTATTGTGTTTTTATGGAAGTAAATGTATGCTGTTTAAAAACCTCGCGATTGCTGAACAAGAAAACGACACATTGAAATCACAATTTAAAGAACGCAGAAAAGAGCCTACCAATAGCCAATCAATCGTCGGTTGTGGCACAGCATTTGGTAATGGGCATACTAACATCAGCTGGTCACCGAGTTGGGGCTGTGGAGGCTGCAATCGTAAAGAAAAATCATTGCGTTCAACTCGAATCTAGTTATATGATATTTCAAATATTTCGAATGCAAAACAGAAGACTCCGTGGTATTATCAGAAAAAAAGCAGATAGATGATTTAAATCGATTTATCTCTTTTGCTCACCTCAATTTCTATGTGTTTATCGGTCGGTATCTCATCCACGTAAGCAACAGTCAGAGAAAATAGCTCGCCAGCGATGCCGGTTTCCGCATGCCGACACCAATACAAACCTTCATCGTCTAAAACACTACATATTTGTTTTATAGAAATCCTTAAGACAAAAAAACTCTGGGACAATAATTTGAATAAAGCAGTGAGATGAGTCAAATCAGCAAAATAATCGGACCTCCTGCGACATCCATGTACACAGTTTCAATAAAAACAAAAAAGAAATAAAAAAACAAAAACTAACTTTGCCGTTATAAGAAAAAAGAAAGAAAATAGTATTCAGCGAATAGATCATAAACAAGAAAACTTCAAATACACCAAATATTCGAGTTCACCTCTAGAAATGTTGCTCATAATGAGAAATCCTACTTCTGGCATTGGTTGCTCGGCCGTGTAGTTTCGATTTTCGAATATTGCATTTGTATCCCTATAAAAAGTTTCAACGAGAGAACATAACAGTAATTACAAAATATACTGATTAGTACAGTGCCCATCACTAGCACGGTGGTGACTCGACCCGTTCCGGGCACATCAAGCCTCTCATCTTTCCGGGGTCAGGAAACTGGTACTGGACTTGCTCGTGGAAAAATTCACTCCTGCAATCCAAGTAGGAACTCTCCAGCTGAGTTATCTCAGAACTCCAAGCACAATTGAGTCTACTAGCAATTTACGGTATTCAAGATGAAATGAAAATCCTCAAGCGAGCAGCCGAAGCCACACGTAGACAGTTGGACAATTGTCGTGGAGGATGGATGCGAAGAAACAAATCGAATGCGAGAATTGCTGGGATTCTCATAGTATATGTGAAGACGGGTCGAGCAAAAAGAAAAAATGTACTTATCACCACAGTATGAAAAGCTGTGAACCTCACAAGTTAATGTGGTGTATGGTTGTATGTAAACACAAAAACTCTCCTGGAAAGAAGTGAGCCGGAAAGGAAATATTAGTCGGAAATCACCCATTCAGGAACGAATATTATATCGTTGCAGCCGAAAGGAAGTTTTCACATTAGTGATTGCTTTCGATGTTTTTTTCAATAAGCAGACACGAGGTTGTTATTATAGGATTTATTAGGATACAATTGCTGACGTTTCGGCGGTTTCGCCTTCTTCAGAGCCTGAAAAGGCTAAATTGAAATGCCATCTACTCAGCCAAACACTTCCATAACCCTAGCAGATAAAATTTAAATAAATTTGTATTCGCATGTATTCGCGCTGATGTTTTTGATTCGTGCGTGAGGATAGTGACTCCTACTTCAAAATCTTCTCCGTTGTGTTCCTGCATCCTATGCGCGCCTAGTCGCTCGTAAAACTCTTGAAGCCCTTTGGATCAATTCCAAAATTTCAAAAATGAACCGCGAAGAGGAGTGTCTTGTCATCACGCGTGACCTGGCGCCATACCTCAGGCTAATCCAATGACCTGACACAAGTTATCGCCCAGCTAACTTAAATACTTACAACAAATAAACGGTGGTGTTTAAATGAAGCTGTTTCTTATGCGAATACAAATTTATTTGTTAAGTTTTATCTGCTCGGGTTATGAAAGTGTTTAGCTGAGTAGATCGCATCTCAATTTGACCTTTCCAGGCTCTGAAGAAGGCGAAACCGCCGAAACGTCAGCTATTCCTAATAAATCCTATAATAACAACCTCGTGTCTGCTTATTGAAGAAAAACATCGAATTATCAATCAATGCCGAGGTTAAAAGAAAGTCGGTCGTAGGAAGTGATTACTTCATTTTTTTTTAATGTGACCCGTCTTCACATCTGCTGTGCGGATTTCAGCACTTCCCACAATCAATTGGTTTTTTCGCATCCGTCATCCACTAAGCTCTTCCAACTTTTACGTGAAGCTTCGGCTACTGCTTAAAGATTTTCATTTCATTTTGAATGTCATAGAATGCTGGTCGAATCGATTCACACTGGAATCCTGAGATAGCCTGGCTAGAGAGTCCCCAATTGAATTGTTGCAGAGAGTAATTTTTCCCCAGACAAATCCGGTACCAATTTCCCACCCACGGAGAGATATGAGACTTTCTTAACCCGGAGAGGGACCGAACCATTCTTAAGCTTGTAATGATTGGCACCATTACCACTGCGCTAACGCAACCCCTGCATTGATGATGGCAGTTATAGATCCTTGAATCTTCGATGAGATCTTATAAGTTATACCAAATGATTACTAATACTCACCTTGACACCGAGCCAACTTCTTTACCGTTTCTATACCAGATAGCTTTGCTGTTCTCCGCGTCCGAGAACACCACTTCACACATAAGAGCAGTTGTTGAATGAATTGGTAGTAACATTTCACTCGGTTGTTTATGCGGTAAAGAAGAGAGCAATGCGAACACAATACCTAGAACAAATCTGGTGTTAGTGTGTAATCCGATTTATCGATCAGATGAACACACTAAGACACTGTCCACCCAAGCTCTTCTTTTCAAATCCCTGAAAGCTGTTGTAACATTAGGACTTACGAAAAACGTTAAAATAAATCCTGATATACTCGATTTAAATAGTATTTGAACAACTGGTAAGTGAGCAGTACACAGCTCATCTAATCATGATGGATTAAAGGTTGTTTTCAGTTTGTCTGAACACCAACTAGTACTTTGAATGAATCAAAACTTGGACAGACAGCTGAACACACAGATTTCCAGCGCAACCGAGAGTTGACTACCATGCACAACTATAACGTTATGCTTAGCTCTCTAAAACTTCTTAGTAGGAGTTGGTGACTAACTAAAGTATGACGGTACTTCAAAACCGTAAATCCAAAACGAATTGAGCGCTGCACTAATTAATCAGTCATGATCCCGTTATACAAGTATTCTCACTGACTAGTTTGTATCTGATGAAAATGTAGAGATTCATACATAATTTACACAGAGAAGGAAGAGTAAAAGTGACAATGTGAAAATCCCCCATTATAAAATACCCTAACTACCGTCATTCGCAATATGCTGTACCACCTGCTATTAGAGCGACAATGTGGAGCCACGCCAAAAAAACCCAAGGAGGCCCATTAAGAAAAACATCACCGTCATCAAATCACCGTACTGTAAGACAGATGAGTGCAATTTAACTAAGAAACTACCTCAAATCTTCCGGCTTTGATGATTTAGTGCTTCAATGTTATAATTTCGGCCTTGACACAAAACAGTGGAATGTGGTATTCGTGTTTCTGTTTACTTAAATAAAACACTTTGCAGCTTTAATTCATCGATCCAATCATT